CTCTCTCTCTTTCTGAGTATGTGTTATGGACTGTGTTTGTCAAAAACTCCCACGCTACGCCTAAAGATGAAAATTCTCTCTCTCTCTCTCTCTCTCTCTCTCTCTCTCTCTCTCTCTCTCTCTCGCTCTCTCTCCCCCAGAGTGCCTTTTTGTCTGTGTGAGTGAGTGAGTGTGTATGTGCGTGTGTGTATGTGCGTGTATGTGTGTATGTGTGTACGTGTATATGTTTAGGCGTGTGGGCGAGTGGCGTGCGTGCGTGTGTACGTGTGTGTGTAAGTGTGTGTGAGAGAACGTGTGTGTACGTATGTGTGTGTGTACGTATGTGTGTGCGCGCGCGCCTCTGTGCGTGTGTGTGTGTGTGTGTGTGTGTGTGTGTGTGTGTGTGTGTGTGTGTGTGTGAGCGTAGGGGCTGGGGTCTCATGTGTACGGACAAAGACTTTATACATGTGATCTGCCACTTTTGACAAACGACTTGTACCGAAACAAGCGATTTTCCAGCACAGGAAAACATATCGCCATGACCAAGTGAAGGACAAGCTACACAGAGGAAGAAGTAGCTTACAGTTTCAGAGAGGCGTCAATCACAGAAAGTGATTTACAAAAAAATGATATTACAAGACAGATCTACTTTTCATCCACAGCACGTTCCACCTCTGAAAAGTCGGTTGAGATTCTGCTTATTTCTTTCTTCTCTTCTCAGTTTGAACCACTAGAAAACAGACACGCCTTAAAAGAAGACGAGAATCTCGTTAGATTTGTCCTGCTTTAGATCAGTACTTCTACCTTTTTTAGTTTTTTTTTTATTTTTTAGAAAGAGTTTTACAGTACTTGCAACACAAATAACTGACATAAATGCTGAAGATTAGATGTGTTACAATCGGGTAACCAACAAAGGAAAAGAAGGAGGTGAGATAAGGAGGATGGATGTTTGATAGAATATAGGAAAGAAGGAGCGAACCACACCTGAGCATACGTCAACCACCCACCCTTTTATCTTTAATGTGTTTGGGTTGTCTGATTGATCGAGTCTCATGGAGAATTCTTTCTGGCGTTTTCCTTAAATGCACGATGAATATGTTCTTTCAGTTTATGCTTTAAACAAGGAACTTTCCAACTGGTGTTTTACCTCATCCTCAAGCAAGTTAAAAAAGCAAAAACAAGAACAAAACAATTACCCCCCCCCCCCCCTCCTTTTCCACGCAACTATTGTACACGTTACAATTACATGGATGCCTCGCTCGGTGAACAGCTGTATTGTCTTAAGCAGGTAAAAAGTAGGTCTTTCGTTTCACGTATACTCTCGGCAGTTTCAAACGAAAGGTAAAAGACAGTAATGATGTTGTTTCGTTGCTTCTGTAACTCTTCTGTTTATTATGCAATCTCAGATTATGACGGGCGGTCCTGTTTCAGTTTTGTCGTGGCGAAAAGAAAAACTGATTAAAAAGTAAACCTTTATTTATAACTCGGGAACGAAACAAAAGCATAGAGAGTGGAATGTTGCTGAGACTGCTAAACTCTCTTACAATAATTAAGCCCGCTGATGAGTCAGTGTTCTCCACTAACAAAAGGTTTCTTTCCTTTCTACCTTTTCTTGTATTATATAACTGCTGCAAATTTGGCAAGACGAAAGAATTTGCTTGAACTAAACAGCTGCTTAGCTTTTTCTTACGGCACATTAAAACAAGAAAAATAAAAATAAAACAAGACACCACAAAACAAAACAAGACACAACAAAAGCCGCATGGCTGCGGGTTCTAAATCCTACACTTATTCTGCATAGACCTATTACATTGACAATTACAAAATTAACTTATCATGCCTTCTTTTTTTTCTTTTAGTTGATAATTGAAAGAAAACCTGTACCTTAAACCCCCCTGTGTTAACACAGTTTCGTAGCTGTGATAATTTTGGCTTGACTCCAGATTTCCATGTAAAGGTTGACACATTCTTGACATATATCCTTAACGCATGCTTGACATTGACACATTCTGAGCGCATTCTTGACACATTCTAGCTAGACTGTACTGTCTGGAGCCAGCTAGTGGCAATTGGTGCAAAAATGTTTTCGACGTTAAGCAGAATAAGATTGGTATCAAAAAGGCATCCTGTTACAAACGCCACTTAACGGGCGGCATTTCGGCCAGAATAACTGAAGTACATTTGTATTGCATTGCGACACGATAGAAGGGAAACTGAAAACGTTGTTTACTTTCAATACGCCCTAAGCGATTGCTCATGACTCATTCGTTTAATTTTGAGATAATGTAGTGTGTTAGGAAGTGCTGATATTTTTTGTTTTTACTCCTGTTTTTACGCGTACATCATTAATGTATGGTTGTGACGGTTCTTCTTTATGTGGTTGAACTGGTTTTTCTTGTTTCTGTGAAATATCTCATCTTGTGTGAATCGCTCAGTGATCATGTGATTGGTGTAAATCGCTCAAAGTTTATACTAGTATGGAATAGAGGGCTATATTATCAAAATATATTATTATTAT